CCCCCCCCTCCCAATCATTCCTATTTCCCATGCTGTAAGCCTCAAGCCTTTTTCATTCTCAACTACACAGAGCCAAAATGTTTTGTTGGTAATTTTTACCGTATGACTTGATGACAACAATCTGTCCTGTATTGCAATGCTGAGGCTGTTATACTGCCTTGGGATAAAATAAGACTTGGAAGATGCCTGTCAATCTAAACACACAAGAAAAACGAATAAAAGAGAGGGACACATAGCAGTAGTCAATCATATTTACAATAAATAAGTAATAACTTATCCAGACTGGGGAATCCATAAAACTGTGAGTCTGTGAATGAGATATATTACAGATTATAATCCAATTAATCTTGTGTTTAAATCAACACCCCATTCATGAAATATTGATCCGACCCAGCTCAACTAGTTGAAGGACCAAAGTACATGCGGATGGGTGGGTTGATCCTGAAAATCGAGAGAATAGCTGATGGTAGCGTCCATATTCCATCACCACAGATTAAGCCAGAAGCAACTGCCCCGGCATAATCCTCAGCATCCTTCCTATTAATCCTTTGCCAGATGTATAATATTACAGTCCCAATAAACATGTCGACTGCGAAATAAGCTCCAAGATAAAATGGAACTGCCATGGCCATAGGAATCGGAATGAACTGTGAAACTCTTTTTGGAGTCACATCTCTAAGGAGGTTAATAACAAGAGCAGCTGCAAAGAACCCACAACATAAAGCCAGACAATGTTTTGGGAGCTGTGAGAAACCCTCAACGCCAAGAATGGCCATTTCCCTGAAAATGACAGCATAGGGTGCTTTGTATGGACCATCAGGTGACCCAATATCAAAAGCAGTCCAAAACAACCAGAATGTGAGAGGGGCAATGACACAGCCCATGGCTGTTCCAACTAACTGGCTCACAAACATGGACTTGGCTGATGATAGAGTGAGGTAACCAGTCTTGAAATCCTGCATTAGATCAGCTGCACTGGAGACAATAGACATCATAACCCCACATGCTGCCAAACCAGCCAGAACGCCACCGTTGCTTCCAACTAATGAAGCTATGATGAAAAGACTGATCTTTCCATAAGTTGAAGCCAAGTTACAGTCTGTGAGTCCCGTTCCATAAGAGTTGCAGAAGGCAAGGGCAGGGGCAATAATGCATGAACAAAGAACCAGATACCACTTTAGGGGTGGATAGATGACTGGAAGGGTAGCTGTTGATATAGCAGCCAGGCCCACATATCCTGAAGCTGCAAACCAGGAAGGTATCCTGTCTTTAAGGAATGTCTCGTCTTTTTGTCTCTGCTCTGTTAGTATTCTCAAAGTATCATCATCTGTGGAAAGACAAAACATCCCAATTAACTCCCCAGCATAAAATGGCAAGCAGTATGCAGTAATTGCAACAATTACTTTGCAAGCAATCATTGTTCTCTCCACTGGCATATATTTATCCTACCTATAACCTCATTGACAATTGGAAGGCCGCTCTGTTTGGTGCCTGTATTGCACATTTCCTTTATCTTGATCAAGTTGTATAGTCCATCCCCAAGTATAAGGGAAATAGCTATAAATACCTGTTTACAATGTGGTGGGAAGGAGAATTTTCTTTAGATACAAGGAAAGGAACTGCACAGCATAACCAAAAGACCAGAAGTAATAAACCTTATACAAGTATATAACTAACTGAAGGCACCAAAGAACAAAAACTCTTTCACTGTACCTTATAGCCATAAAGACCTTTCAAATCATTGCTCCCCAGGTTAGCAGGATACCAGTCCCCAGAATGTGAAGAAATGAAGGGCCATAAGAAACCCCATGATATGATAGCCCCAAAAAGAACTGAGCAATTGACTATGTGAGAACAAATCAGACCACATCCAACATATGTTAGACTGAAGTCAAAATAGAACCTGCATAACTGTGTTATTTAGCATGCATCTCACAGACATTTAGATAGAGCTGAAAATACAGTACTCAAGTTTGATCCTGTTTTAATTCTTTCTTTTTATTATCTTCAAACTTAACTGACACCATGATTGGTACAGCAATGATCAATTTAAAGGCCTCAATACCATATTTAATTAAAAAAAGAAATGAGTGAAGTCATAAGTAAATGCTGGCCAAAAGAAAAAGTCAAAGTAAATAACTACAGTTTGGCCTGCATGTTTCTAGCAACTGAGATTACTCGTTAGTCGTACAACATCTATTAGAGAAAGTAGACATGAGAGTCTAAAATGAAAGAGAAACTTACGTGCTTTTGAATAGTGTTAAACCAAAGGTGGGGAAATTATCAAAACCACAGGAATCCCCAATACCACTGAAGAACCACTTGACACCACTCCATAATAGACTTATGCCCAAATATTTCCCAAGACATTTGACTTGCTGCCTGTCATAAATTCATAGGAAATTAAATTATTAGGAAGATCAAATTATATCTTCTCACATTGTTACCACAAGCATTGAATTTACAGTGTATCTGAGAAAAGCACAAGATGTAAATTAGACAATTGAATTTTACCAACAGAGAGTGTGGCACCAAATTGACAGATGGGAACTTCATAAAGCTCATATAATAAGGTTTACGGTTTAGCAGCAGCTAGCCATACAAGTTCTGTCCACGATTATCAGAAAGTGATGATAGACCTCTTTTTAACCATTCAGCCTTCCAAACTCAATTCAACTATCCTTAATGTGTGAGTTTTTCTAGTAATTTCCAAGTAATTATCATGGATCTAAAGGAATTATATCAAAACAGACCAAAAGATGAAGACCATTATATATCTAATAAGAAATAATTACCCTGCAAGCTCAGCTCCATTGTTGGTGTGAAAGCTATTTATCAACCCTGCTGTTGCTGTTCCACTAGGATATGTAAGTTTATAATCCATGATCATGACCTAATAAAATAAAGAGGAAAAACAAGAAGAATACATTTTAACTAGTCAATAGTTGTGGCGTAAGAGAAGTCTGTATATTTCAATTGCCTAAGGAAAATGTTAGACAACACTATTCATCATTGTCAAAACCAAGGCCTTTATCAAAATGAAAAATAGGAATACATAACAAATAAAACTTTCAGGTGTAAAGTTGATTCCAAAGTGCCCCAACGAACGAGATTTATTAATAGAAAAGGAAAAAGATAATACACCAAAAGAAAGTCAACAAAGACTAAAGAAGAATGGAACTTCATATGTCCATGACTGTTGATGC